AAACAGAATGTCGAATCGCGCATTTAAAGTCGGTTTGTTCCTTCATGCGAACCCAAGGCCAATAAATAATTTTATAAGGGTTACATCACTCATGAGATAGAGCTCCTTATTCCTAGTGTCACTTCAGGTAGTGGAGTTATGGAATTACGTAGCAAAGCGGACAGACTTGGGCTGTTGCTACGTTCCTCGAGGTTATACCTATCCACCAGAGGCGGGTAAACTGCAGATCGGTTTCTCTACATGGCCTTTAAAAAATTCTGCCTCAAGTTCTGATGACAACGGTCTACTGATACTGAATCACCACCGTCCCTACTTGGAGATGTTGCTCAAGATCCTTCAACACGGGTGGATGGCCATTGTCATTGGACCGCGTGGAGCAGGTGCGTATGCACATCGTTTAATTTATTTATAACCAAACATTTTATTATTGTGTTGCTATATAATGAAACCTCTTTTTATTGAAAAAGTAATTCTTTTTCAAACGGTAATTACAAAAGCAAAATGCGCACTTTAGAAAGTGGTTTTAGGGCGCTCTCGCGATTCGACACCATAAGCAACGAGCAAAATAAGGCAGTTTGAAATAAAGTGGCAATTAAATTTTTTTGCTTATTAGCTCATACATGAGCATTGAGGCATATTTTAGCGATTCTACTATGCAGCAGTACCTTTTCTAGGTAAACGATCTGTGGTGCACCTCGCTGCATATTTGACGCATCAGCCGATCGTGGCGGTGGCTCTCTCGCCATCTGCGGATACTATGGAGCTTCTAGGGGCTTTTGAACAGCGTGAGAACGGTGGTATCTTCACATGGATTGACAGTCCTCTCGTAAAAGGTATCAGGGAAGGTCACTGGGTCATGCTGGAGAATGCGCAACTTTGCAGGTTGGGTCTCATGTTCTCTTGTTTCGCTGTTTTTTCTTGCTAACATTTCGGTGATTCAAAGGCTAAAACTAGTAGATGTGAAGTAAAAAGTCACTTATTCGAAGTGTGTTGAGAAAACGATCCACTTTTATCGCTGAGAGGGCACTACTTTATCCCTTTTCACCAAACCTTTATTTGAAATAACTCATTCTTTAAGACATTCGACAAAGTATTTATCTTCC